AATCCCTGCCCCCATCTTATTTAGTTCCAAGATTTTATCAATGCTTTTCATTACAGCATCGAACCCCTTCCTTCTCGTCATGATTTGGAACTGGAAGGGATCTAAAGTATCGAGACTGAGATTTACCCCAGTCAACCCCGCCTCAACCATAGGCTCCAGTTTCCGGTGCAAGGAAATTCCATTCGTTGTGAGACATAGCTCACGAAGCCCGTTGCGTCGTAGATCGCCGATTGACTGCATCAAAGGAACAATATCCTTCCGAACAGTAGGTTCACCGCCCGTTAAGCGGATCTTCGTTACCCCTTGCGAGACAAAAAGGGAGGACAGGTACACTATCTCGGGGGATGTGAGCAGGCGAGCCGGTGGCGAAAGCTCTACGCCTTCTTCCGGCATACAGTATACACATCGGAGGTTGCAACGCTCGGTGATGCTGATTCGGAGATAGTCATGTTGGCGGTTGAAGGTATCCGTCAAGAAATCGGAAAACGGCTTCGCGGTTTTCAAGGCAGTCCATCGCGAGGAAGGTTTTGAAGTCGAGGGGTCAGAAGTGGGGAAATAAGTGGCGGGGAGGGGTTTCGTGTCATTCTGTTCATTCTCTGCAGGCGAGGGGGCCGTACTGTAGTGCGAAGCTGCTTTGTTCCTACCGGTCGATATCTGTCGGAGGTGGGTGCGGGGATACCGTCGAAGGGATGGTAGAGAGGCTGTCAACCCGCGCCGCGACAGTAAGAATTCAGTCATGATGGGCAGGGATTAGGCGAAGCGGTGACGCAAGCCCAGCTGTTTGCAGCATATCAGTAAAGAAGAGGGAGTGGCGGGCATTTGGGTCTTATAGGGAGAAGTTTCTTGGTCAAGGCGGAAGGAGGGGAATTGGATCATTGGATCCCAAGAAAGCTTGCTTATCATCATCGAGTCATCCCCTGGCCTTTCATTCGCTGGGAGGCGACTTCTCCGCAGAGCTAACTCATTCGGAGACGTCCGCCCTGTTCACCGGCACTCCCGTAACCGGGTCTAGCCGAGTTGGGAAGTACTACCACTAGGAGTCTAGTGAATTCCGCTACTCTATACAAGTATGAAGAATGATAGAAATTATATACGATGATGCCATTCTTTCTCATAAGAGTATAAAATTGGCACACTACCCCTGCGCCGGAAGCATCTTCTGCACCCGCTTCACCAGGCTTTGTTCAAACTGCTCTACCCCTTTGCTCTGTTCCTTGAGCTTTCCGCCCTTTAGGACATACACAGCTCGTCTCCGACTCCGACTCTCGTCCGTCTCTTCGTCAACACCCTCGAAGTCATCGTCCAATTGATGCTCCTCGTCACGTTTGCCTTCGATAACCGAGCGGACCAGGAACCGATCATGCGATACTAAGATGATGGCCCCGTTGAATGAAGATAGAGCAGTTGCGAGGGCCGTAACAGTATGGAAATCCAAATGAGTAGTGATTTCGTCCAAGACAAGCAAATGCGGAGAATTCCAAATGACTTTCGCCAACGCCAAACGGACCTGGTATCGAATTTGATTAGCTTATGTTTGTTTATGGATATTTGTGCGTCGGTTATGCTCACAAGTTGACCGCCTGATAGTCGAGACACAGGCACATCAGAGGCGATTCGGCCCTGGAGACCCAAGCTTGATAGCAAACCCCTCAACTGACCCTCACCCATTATCCCATCAGTTGCTTTAGACATAAAGCCTAATGCAGTTAAACTGGGGTCAAATTGACCCTGTTCTTGCAGGTCCTCTATTGAGTGCTGAGAATAGTAACCGAGTTTTAGTCTCGAATGTGTTGATACCTTTCCCTTGGTTGGCAACGCATTTCCGACAAGGACCCGGATCAATGTGGACTTTCCGCATCCATTGAGGCCCATGAGGCCAACTCGATCCCCCATGTGCATGACAAGGTCCACTCCATCCAATACTGGAGCTCCATTCGGCTGATACTTGAATACAATTCCTTCTGCAGAAATCAATGGACCTGGATATCGCAGCTCTGTAGCGTCAGGTAGAATTATCGAAGCACCCTTTTCGTCTGTCGGAACCTCGATCTCTTCTCGAGAACTCGAATGCCATCCAACCCGGTCTCGATTCAGTTTGAACCGCCCTCCAGTCGCACTCACTTGGACGCCCATCCTGTCATCCAGCTTCTTTTGCCGCGACTTAGCCATACGTAACTTGTTATCATCGTTTGTTTTCTTCCCTGTCTTGGTTGTTTCACGGATGGTTGCTTCCATGTGAGCAATCTGGCGCTCCTGGGCCTCCTTCATACGACCCCAGTACAACTTTTGCTCTTCGAAATCCCTCTCGTAGGCCGACAAATTACCTTTGAAGTATGTGAACTTCTGATCCCTTAGAATGACAATCTCTTCGCAGACGGCATTTACGAAGTCCCTATCGTGGGAAACCAAGACTATAGTGGTTTGCGATGAGTCCTTCAGCTGCCGAAGATAGTTCTCAAGCCAAACTACTCCTAGCAAGTCCAAGAAATTTGTCGGTTCATCGAGGATCATGAAATCCGGGCTTTGGATAAGGACACCTGCCAGCATGCATCGCATACGCCAGCCTCCGGATAATGTTAGGAATGGTTTATCGAACGTGGTCTCTTGGAAGCCTAAGCCAATCAAAATTTGACGTGCCTGTTGCTCAATATCGACCAGTTTCATCTAGTTGCGTCAAACTCAGTGACTGTCATTGTTTTTCTAATTACTACCATACTCACCGTCTCGAACTGAGCTTGAAGATCTTGCAATGTATGCACCGCAGCCTGCGTATCTTCCTTGACAGTATCGACATCGATTGATTCTTTCTCCTGGTTCAGTCTATAGAAATCAGGCACTGGACAGTATCTTTCGACGGGGGCGACTTACATTTCTAGTGAAGCTTGGAACTTGTTCTCAGCAGCTTTCAGGTCCTTCCGCGCTTGTAAACCTCTGGCTCCACTCTTCAAGCTCGCATTTTTCTGGGCGAGGAACAGGTCTTTTTCAGCCTTGTCATGACGGACTCTGCGAATAGCGCTGACCGGTTGCAGCGGATCATCCGTCTCGAAGCTTTTAGACAGGACTTATATAGTGTTTTATCAGATGCGATGTGAAAGGTAGAGCAGATTCAGTAGAAGAATAGGTAGCTTACAGTTCATCTTGTGGACCAATTCACTCCGGGAATGATCACTGCTCAAAACATATTGAAGGACTGTCTTGTTTTTGTTTTCTGCTTCCTCAGCGGCAAAGTCCTTGAGGTCCTCTTCCGACGCGGTCTCTGTCTGTTGCAAGATAGCTATACGTGTGGAATGTGGGATGCCAGGGACGAGTTTGTCCGCCATAGCTCGTAGGAGCGCTGCAGGTAACATATATTAGCTTAACCGTGTCACCAGCCTCTATCTTAATGCTCTTCTTCTGTGCGTGTTAGATACGGGAAGCAATGCTTACTCGACTTTCCAGTCCCATTTCGACCTATCAGCCCATAATGCACGCCTGCCTTCAACCGCAGATGAGCATCTGAGATAAGCTCTCTGGTATCTGGCTTGCTCTTGGATTTTCCTTTGAGCGTTGACTTCGAGGGACCCTCCGGAGTATCCCGTGATGAATGGACGGCGATAGTGAGGCCCTCTACGTCAATCTGTAGAATAAAACTATCAGTCCATGACGGTAAAGAGGAATTTTGTAGCGGAGTAGGTTACCTCCTGAGTCGGCCTATCATCAAGCAAATGGAAGCGAGTCTGTTTGCAAGTTGCGAGAATAGACGACTTCATGTTCAAATAGCTACCAAGTTTCGCGTATTTCACTTCGATACACAGATGGCAGGACAAGTTCAAAGGAGACTTTGATGGGGTAGAAAATATAGTTCATGGAAAGGACAGCTTCATTACTATACATGCTACTCTACATCTCATATAAGTAGCAGCCCAACTAGTAAGGGGTAGCATTGAGATGAATAGTGCATTCTTTGGAACAAACATAATACATAAAACTTCATTCTCCACCAGGTATACTGAGTCACTTAGATGATCACCTTGAAAAATGTTGTCAATGAAACCACAGAGCGAACGTCGGGGTCCCGAAAAGGAATAGCCGCTTGTCACTGGCCTGAGGAATCAACTGGTGGCTCAAGCTCATAAAATGGTTGAGTCGTTTGCCGAGGTCGCCTGTGCGCTTTTTATGTGGCAAGGTGGATTCCATGACTCATGAATGAGTCATGGTACTCAGTGGAATGAATCGATTCAGTCTACTAAACAGTAGTTGGAAGCGTGAGGTAGATATGCGTGAATAGCAGTTCATCGTCCACGCTGAAACTGCATGGATCTCCAACATACAACTACAGGATGAAATTTAGACGCCAGCTGATGGAACTTGTATGGCCTATGCTATATAGTCACCTACAATCCCTCCATAAATGACGATTCTGTATCTTCAGTATTGACCTCCTCCAGCACTCCTACTTCTACGCCGGTAGGAGGTACTGTCTTTGCGCCAAAGCCCATCTGCCTTCCTACACATCTAACACCGTTCGCTAATGCTGAATGACTATAAGCATTTGCAAGAAAGTCAGCAGAACTTCAGAGTTTTAGTCGACAAAGGATTGTTGAACAAGGCTATTGGCTAACTCAGTATCTTCTCCCTTCTATTCATTATGTGAAGACAGCTCAATGGCGTCAGTGCAGCTGACGGCCTGACCGACAACCCACCGTCAATCGACTGATCGTCCTTTCTGTTGCCGTCTACTGGAATATTGATTTTCCCAGCTGAGAGCTGATGGTGCAAAATCGCGGCTGAAGCGGGGTCCTGCGGGGTACTCTTGGGCATTACCGCCGTGCACTGGCCGCTAGAGCTGAAAAATCAAAGAGATAGATAGCAGATGCTGTCTAGACAAAAAAATATAAATTGAAAGTCCGACCAGATCACTTTCACTCTCGTGTCCAACCTCCCCATCTTACCAAGCCCTTCGATTCTATTATAACATAGAATTTATTTATCGTGAACCTTCAGAGAATCTTTTGCCCACGATGCCTGTTCAAGAGATTACCTCGTAAGTAGTGACAAAAACTCTTTTCTCTCTCAGACGAGTTTACCCAGTACTAACGGTGATACTACGGTAGGTTCCAACAGTTCCAAGACCTTATCAACGGTGATAAACCCGTTGTGATTGATTTCTGGGCAACATGGTGTGGACCTTGCAGAATGATATCCCCTGTTTTTGAGGCCTTGTCAGAACTCGCGGAATTCGCAAACGTCGGATTTTATAAAGTTGATGTCGATGCACAAGAGCAAATTTCCCAGGAAGTCGGCATTAGAGCAATGCCAACCTTCGCACTTTTTCACAAGGGTGCCAAAATTGACGAGGTGGTGGGGGCCGATCGTAATAAATTGCAAAGTGTTATTCAAAGCGCAGCTTCTCTCTAAAGCACTAGCAAGACAGTCCGTATTGCCTGTGTTGTTCTATGGGGCTGGCTGGAGCGAGCAAGGGAGGCACAACTGATTGTATCTAATACTAAATGCCTTTATCAGATATCCCGCTGAAAATGGCTATATGGCTTTTTACTCCTGATCATTATTCAGCACCTTTGTTTAACAATTATACTGCTGGCAGACAGAAGTCTCGGGCCTTATATATATACAAACCTCAGAATGAAGAGACTAGAGCCTTACATGGCCCTAAGTCACAGCGCAGAATCTACTCCTATAAATATCTCTTTAGAATTAAACAGAATGCGGGTCAAGCTTATTATATAAGTGAAAGTTAGCCCGTGCCTTACCGTGTGAGTACTAGGGTGTCTTGACAAAGGGCGTGTTCACGGTTAGAGCCTCATTCCTTGTAGTATACATGTACAGGTTCATATCGGCCAGTAAGAGTCCCATACTAGTATGAGAGGTTCAGACAAAGACTATATTATATCTTCTGTATACACTCATCGTTAGTTCTTTGTACTGATCCGCAGTGCTAAGAATGACGTTGGTAATTCCTTTGCCATATACTACAATCGAAGATGCAGCTAATCAGGGTCAACGAATCTCGCTTTTGGACTTGCCACTTGATCGCCATGATACAGCAGTCACGTAGATTGTCAACAATATACAAATTAGCAGCATGTTCTAGATCTTAAGAAAGGACCATGACGATAGAGCCCAGATCTATCTGTATTGCAGCGAGTGTCCTATCATCACAGATACACATACATAGCAGAACAACTACAATGGAATAATAGAATTGAGTTTCCATTCGGTAAGTTACGTGAACTCAAAACAGTCGAGCGAGCATTCTAGTTCATGCGTGATACCTAAATATTACACATTCGACGTTATCATGATGATATAGCTTCCCGAGCCATGTTTGCAATACAGCAAACCGTGGGGCCACGGACGGACCTCCAAGGCGATGGTAGATTGTTTACCAAAACCAGCAGTAACCATGCATCTCTAACCAGATATTGTACTATCTCTTGCATCACAAAATGGTCATATCTACTGTGTAGCAAGACAGACGTCAAGCGGGTATAGCATGACCTCATATCGCTTTTACATAGGGACCCGAGAAGTATAAGAATGGCAGAATCGAGCCTCATCGAGAAGTGATTTATCGAAGCAAACCATAGCAACACTGATCAAGGGTTTTCATTTACCAAACCTTTCTTATATCTAACCCATCAATTCATAATGGCCTCAAACACGAACCCCGGAAACTTCAGCAACCGTCCCCACGAGGAGGTTGAGAACATTGCCCGCAAGGGTGGTCAGAGCTCCCACTCAGGAGGTTTTGCCAGCATGGACCCTAAGAAGCAGGTAGGTTTCTCATCGATTTTAGTACTCTCATAGATACTTATCTATCTGTCAGAGAAACATCGCTTCCAAGGGGGGTCAGGCTTCGAGCGGAAGCTTCCAACCTGGTGACCCTAGAGCCCGCGAAGCCGGTCAGAAGGGTGGTTCGAGAACTCAGTACGATGTGGACCAGCCCGAGGAGTAAACATGTCGTCTCGGATGATAGGTTGTTACCATACTACTCGCGTGTTTGATGATATAATGTTGTATATTTTACTGTACCTTGAACGAAACTCTGTTAACATGACAATGTGTCTTATGAGACAATCAACACCGGAAACGGCATCTCATTGCCTTCATATTCTTCTTTTGAAGCTCCTGTAGCATTATGAATATCCCTCATACTGAATGCCATCATTATGTAGTAGACATTAATAGAAATATGATGTCCAACCGACGTAGGAGTCTCCACATCAACCAACCACGGCCAATAGACGTCAGCAGTGCATCACCACGAATTGTCCGTTTTCGATCAAGAAACAAACCCCAAATTATCATCAGATGTCAGTTTTCTTCAGCTTGGTTGATATTCTTGGGATGGTATGTAGTGGCAATCAAGAAATGGTGTTGCCTTCCCGAGAACTACTACACTGCCACACTTGAGCAGCTGCTTTTAGAATTAGCTTACGACATGGTGGCCAGCATATACGAGCTACACCCACGCACCACTGGTTAATCTTACTTTGTATTTATTTTTGGCAATGCTGCAAGACACAGTTTTTGGGTTTTATGCTGGAACAATGGTACAATATTCTTATCCAACCCGTGCGAGTGACATGACTCTAAAACCTTAAGATCTCCGACGGTACAACCGATGTTCACCCGATGGATGTACATACATACATATCGCGCATAATTCGCACCACGGTTTTTTGTGTTACCTACATAGTATTAAGCCATATGCTTTTTTTGAATGCTAGTATATACTTTGACTTGTCTGGTAGACGATGTACAAACGTACAGATATACGTAAATAGTATATATATTGTGCTAAAATAGTCAATTTCTATAACCACCGACATCGAGGTTCTAGCCCTCACACCATAGTCCAGAGAGCTCTTTGGTGCCCTCCCTAACTGTGACGACGCAGTGGCTGTCGTGTCGCTGACATTTCTATACTTTAGTATTACTATAGAACCAAGGCCTCTAGGCACCGAGGTCAACCATCGGCTTATTACCTCTTTCAACACATGTAGAAGCTAGACTTGTGCCAAAACTGTGTTGTTGGAGTCTCCCGCGGGATCACATTGCCCAGCAATTACGGGTCTGACGCGGCTAGTTGAACAGACTATTTGTTTCTATACTTGGTTTTGAAAACACCTGGAATAGACCGTGAGCTGTGTGTCGTGTTTGACAGGAGATGCTTGTATTTGCATGTGTGTGTAATAGTCACTTCTAATATTACCATGGCACCTCCGGATCTCACCAAGCTACAAGAATTTATCGATGTGTGTTCTCCCGTAGTGCGTAAACACTTGCGGCAACACCATGTTTCAGAGATGCATACTGAATCAATACTCAAACGGATTCTACCTGCCCTCGCCGGACCGACCGTCATGGCGCGGAGAGTTCTGACTCAAAAGATTCCCTCATATCAAGAAGATTCACATACACCTCCTCGGCGAAGGCTTCTTAGTGGATAAGGATAGCTCTGTTTATTAATATGTTTACGTTTCAAATCCTGGGCTTGTCTGAGTCTCCCAGATTTGATCCGTTGAAGCTCCGTATAATATTGCATTTTTATCTTTCTAACAGGGCTGCTATTGTTGCTACTAATTTGAATTAAACAATAGAGCTAAATAATCATTGTCACAGATCACTGGATGGCATGTAGCTGATTGACGCCGCCCTGGAAATAGACATAGTGCTGTAACTGATGAGAAACCCACAAGACTCTCCCATATCCGATGCTCTAGTTTGCTGCAGGAGTTTCTGCTAATGTTACAACGCCCAATAGATTGACAGGGAGGGCCTTGGCTCTATTGGCAACTATCCCTCTTAGTGTTGGTTACCAATAGTGGAAGCTATAGTTCTCTTTGAAGTTGCGCACGAGACAAAATTCCTCCCCGCTAGGGCTAAGACTTTCCTTAAAAGGATCGTTTGCTACACTAGTAGGTAGTACTAACCTACGGAGTAGAAGCCGATTATCTTATCTATAAACATATCCATGCTCAACAATAGTTACACTCGGTTACTGGCTAGCGTTAGCCAACCTATTGATCATCATTGCCAGTTGAATCCTTAGCTTCTCAATCAGAGTGCCGAAGCCTTCTAGCCAACTTCTTAGGGTAAACTATAACACTTCTAAGCACTGCCCCTGGAAGAAAGTTGGAAGAGGCTAAACAAACTATAGAAAAGACTTTTTCTGCGGTATTTTTGGCCCATGGGGCGGCAATTCTCCGGAGTGAGCGCGAGGTGTTGGTGCAATGGCTTGACAGTTATGTATCACACTCCTTTTTCTTTATTTTTTTTTTTATTTTATTTTTATTTTTATTTTTTCTTTTTTTGCCCCTTGTAACAAGTTGTAGAACTGTGGCTTTGGGCGGATAAGAAACACTATCCACGTATTTGCTTGAGGCGATTGAGTCCAGCCTTATGGATATGGCCTTTTGCTTACGCGGTTTCGGAAAATCTAGGCCATTGTCTGTTATAGGGCCGGCTGTCAAAGGATTGGAAAGCCGGAGATATCGCATGTATGATACCAAAAGAGGATAATTCGACCGGGGAGCTCTCCTTTCACAGTTTCAGAGTGTTCCAAGGAAAATAGCGTGCTATGACTAGATTACAGAGCTTACGATCTATTTTCCATGCCTCATACTGATGAGAAACATGAATTTTACATCAATTCCACGGCATTCTAGATTCCTGAGGTCTTAATTTTCTTTGGTACTCCGTATACTCCGTGGAGAGACCGACAGGTATGTAAGTAGTCAGCGGAGCGAAATCGGACTTCCCGCTGGTGGCGCCGGTCATGGTCCGCCAGGGGTGCAGTGTGGGAAAGAGCTAACTTAGCGGCATGCGGCCCAACCTAAACGGAGATGATTCCAGCTGAGCAGAAAAACCAGACCGGAAGATGGCCGGAAGTCCCATGGCCCAATGGTTGACAAGTCGTGCAGCACATCCAAGTCCACACGGGCGAGACGCCCACCTTGGTGGGAAAACCCTAACCGGAAGGGGTTGGCGAAGGCATTATGCCCCATTTTATTCTCCAGGGGATAATCAGTTAGCGTGTCGAAGAAGGGTAGGGGCGTTTGCATAAGTGGCTATGCCGTTGAACGGGAGAGTCTCTTAGGTCTATGCCAAGCTTTGCTTCCGGTGTTGATGATCCACCGAAACCCACTGGAAAAATTTCCACCAGCGACTAAACACTGAAAAGTGAGGATCAAGCGGGTTCGCTTCGAGAGTCGAGAATCAGCCGTGATTGAATCATTGTTTTTGTAGAATACCCGCCGATGGTGGACGAGGAGGGCATCTAGAAGGACCCCGGTGGTTAATTGGTGGTTGTTGTACGTTATTGCGTTGACTCGCCTTGTTTGGTTATCTGAATCGGTTGCGGTTTTGAAACACTGGTTGGTATGTGGCCACCATTCCTACGGAATTGTATTTTGACGTCAAGTCACCACCAAGTCCACATTCCAGAGAACGGAAGTACACTTTTCCACCACAACCATGTGAACATGTGGATGTTGGAACACCACACATAGAGGTCCTTTTCCAAGAAGGGAGAGTCAAACTGTTGACGGGAACTTGTTTCTGATGAAATGGCTGTTGTCCAGTAGACTTTAATTGGTCTATGTGAGCGCCACAGGCGTCACAAGGGAGAGAACTTAGATATCCTAAATGGACGTTTTGAGAGGGTCGGCAATGGAACGAATTGTACAACTCCCACTTGCCGGGACTCTTAGTTAGCTCGTACAAAGTACCCTAACAATACCTGAAACGGAAAAGTGTCACAGAAAAGATAGGAGTGAAAAAAAAAGAAGTAGTAAAAGAACAAAAGTTAAATAATAAATAATAAAATAAACAACTAAAAAATTAGAAAATTAGAAAATTAGAAAATGGAAAATGGAAAATAATAATAATAATAAAAATAAAAACTAACTCACTGCATGGGAGGCAATCGAATTGCCTTGCCTAACAAGGGGGACGGTCAACCGCCCTCCTGGGAAATGCAGAGCGATGTGTGCTACGCTCTACCTTCCTTCTTCTATTGCACTCTCTTTAATTACTCCGTACTTGCCTCGCTAACTCGAGTGATACCCGTGACTAGGCAACGGGGGCTAACCTGGGTATGTGCAGTGACTGACTACAAGTTGTTACTTTGGACTATTGTTATTTACCTAGAGAGCATTGAATTTTCCCAAACAAGACAGACAAAGTTAATCAGAATAACGCAAAATAGCCTAAACGTTCCATACTCCGTAGAAGCAGTAAACAAACATTAGATCTTATCGAAGATCCCCGTCGTCTGTATGTCCACTTAAGTTGGTCAGGAAGGACGGGGCCAGTCAGGGAACGAGTGGATTCCCAGGTAGGGCACAGGAACCCCGAAACCCTAGTCGGACGTCCTACAGACGAATCACGGCGTCCGATGAAGTGGGGGGTTGGCTGAGTCAGCGGAGGACGCGCAAGCCGGGTGAACCTGATTTCTATTCCTGGCGTGGAGAAACGTCCCACTCGGTCGATTCCCCTGGCGCCTCCCTTCCACTCTTGCTCGGGCGCGAACTCCATTCTCCTCTCTCCCTTCCCTTCCCTCTCCCTATTGTTGCCAACTCTTTCTTAACCTACACATCTATTCCATTTCCTCTCCATCATCGTCGATCTTCTATCCCACCACAACACACCATCGCTTCTTTTTCCTCATCCCCACTGCGTACCGTGGGTGATCATTTTCTTGTGCTTAGCCTGTTTTCGTTTTTCACCTCGCTTCTTAATCTCCCTATTAGACTCGTACACCACCTCCACCTCGTCTCTCACTATCGTCCGGGCCGATCGAGTGTTGTAATCCACCAACGCCCACTTTCCATCCGACCTTAAAAAGAACACCGTCCCCTCAATTCTCCCCGGGGCACATATATCATACACATCATGGCCACATTAGCGGAACATCCGGTCGTCGCCCCGTCGACATACGATCAGGATATCGATACTTTCCTCAACCTCGATCAACTCACGTATACCACATCAGAGCCAGCCCGGCCCAAGGCGGCCCTGGCTCAACCATCCATCCCTCCTACAGAGTTCAACGCTGGGGATCTTCGAAGCGCCAATTTCGCTGCAACGGGTCAATCGCCGATTGCTTTTCAAGGCCCGAGCCACCAGTATGACGAGCACAAGCAGCAGACAGGTCTTCCTCCCGGTGCCCTGGCTCAAGCAATGACTTTCAACCAAATGAACGGAATGGGGTACGGTGGCGCCAGCCCTGGCTACATGATGAACGCCGACATGTTTACTGGTACTCAGCTGAAGCGTGAGGACGCTTCTCTCGACTTCAACGCAATCCCGAGCCGTAACCCTTCAGAGATGGACCTGGAGTCCGATAACATGGGTACGGTTCCCGGCTATTTCTTCTCACCAAACCCCAACAAGAGCCAATTCGTCGACCCCAGCGCCCTCGGTGGCCAGGAGGTAGTCCCCGTTGGTCCATCTACCCAGGTCGGTCGCATGTACCCCGGAATGCATCAGCAGCAGGCTGCGATGGCCAAGGCGGCTCAACAACAAAAGCATCATGAAATGATGCGCCAGCAACAACAATTACAGCAACAACGTCGGATAGAAGAGCAGATGCAGAACAATGGAAACCCTCAGGTCCAGCCCCCTCGTAACACGAACCCGATTGTGGAAGAGCGCATCACTCGTCTTTTGCAGCAAATGAGACAGTCCAGCACCTCGAGCTCGCCGTCTGACTCCCCTAGCCCCTCTGTCTTGCCTCAGATGGCCAAGGCCAAGAAGGATGAACAGGATATGGACGAAGACGAGAGACTGCTCGCTAGTGAAGAAGGCAAGAAACTTAGCAGCAAGGAACGCCGTCAACTTCGTAACAAGGTCTCTGCTCGTGCTTTCCGGTCTCGCAGAAAGGGTACGGATTTTTTTTTTTCTTTTTCTTTTGAATGCTCGTCTATGATTTGGTAAACTAATTCGTCACAGAATACATCGGTCAACTTGAGAGCGAGGTTGCCGCAAGAACCAATGAAGCCCATGAGTTGCGCCTCCAGAACCGTGCTCTGTATGAGGAGAATGCTCGTCTCACCGATCTTGCCCGCATGCTTCTGTCCTCCCCCAATTTCTCCCAGTTTCTAGATGAGATGTCCATCAACGGGGTCTCTAGCTCGGCTCAGCCGCAGCCGCCTCAGCAACAACAGCCGCAGCAACTGCAGTCTCAGCCCCAACCCCAGCAGCAGCCAACTATGCAGCCCAGCATGCCCAAAGACACAAACCACGGTCATGGAGCCCAGGAATTCGCCATGCAACAGAATCCTCAAGTCGGCATGGTTGTTGTCCCTAACCAAGGACTCGACGTGGCTGCTATGAGCATGAACAACGCTGGCTGGAACTCCGGCATTGATATGAACTACAACCCATCGGTGTTCGCTGTTTTGGAAGTCCCTGAGCCCTCGATCATCGATACCGAAATTCTGTCTGGCAAGTCTTCCAGTGTTGGATCCTACCTTCCTGAGATTACGGATTCCAAGAACGAATTGCCCGTCTTCGATCGTATGCCCATGTCTGAGGAGGCCAGCGTTGGCGTTGAAAACCCAGATGTTGAATTTGACGAATCGGATCCTGCATTTGCTCTCTTCGCCGACTCTCCAGCTACTTCTCAACAAGAGTCGTTTGATATCTCCTTCAACGGAGTTGAGTCAGAGAAATCTGCACATGCATTCGAGTTGGTGGTCGAGAATGAGTCCCGCGATGCAGAGAGCCGTTTCTCTTATCTCTGTCACAGCATGGAAGCAGCTTTCCAGCGTGTTTCCATGGTCACCTCTCATCTCTCATGATTCCCCATGTCGCACCTAAGCAACTTCAGATTAACTTAAGAATTTGTAAAGTTCGTTCTTGTCATGTTCTTCCTTTTAGGCGGTTCGGCTACCTGAACCTGCGTCCTTGTAGACACAAATACCTTTTCCTTTGTTTATGATCCTGTGACTATATATATTGTCTTGACTTGCAACTCCGCTAGTTTCACCCTATTCTCTTTCTTTTCTATTTTGGATTCTCCTCGTTTCATTCTCCCTTTCATTGCTGGGTTTGATGGAGTCAATTTGTCGAAATCGTTCAAGGTGGGATCGGGATTACAGGCCTTTGGTGTTCTTCTTTTTTCATCTTTTTTTTTTGCAGAATTGGATACCTTCTGGACTGGCTACTAGGAACCAAGTTTAGTTAACTGTGAATACATCACGAAATTCAAAAGTTACGGTCGATCACCTTCTAAGTCTGACAACGTTCAAGTATTACTAGTACCTACCTAGAAAGTCATGTGCAGTGCTGCAAACTGGTGTTTGTCGCCACTAGAGAAGACCTGAGGCTCTGAACTGCTCCAGACTCAACTTCACCCCCAAGTTGTGTTTTTCCTTTGCTACAACCAACTTCGCCACCTCATCGCGTCGCTCATCCTTTGAGATGACTGTTCTTTGCATCTCATCCTAACTAATTCTTTTTCCCTAGCCAAGTTGGCTACCCTTCCTCCCGCCCGCGGGCTATTATTCAAAGCCTTTCGCGGAAACGTTGCCCCATCTATAATAGCCCGCTCTCCAGTTCCTTTCAGAGCTCCGTTTTCCCGACCGTTTTGGCATATTCCCAAAGCTGCATCCAAACCGAAGTCTATTAAACCGAAGTCCATTAAGCCAAAGGACTCGATATCAAAAAGTCCTGCTTCCGCTAGTTTCGCTAGATCAAAGCCCCGACCCAAATCACATCCGTCGAAATCGACCGTTCCTCCCACGAAACCCTTACCCACACTGAAAACCGAGCCATATCCACTCAAACGGGATACATTTCTTCTCCGAGCTCCGAGACTTATTACGCGACGGGGATCGAAAAACTATTTGCTATACAGCTCGAAAACTCACAAGCTCTCAGGTTTCGATTTCTTGCCGACCCCGCCTGTCGGACAGAAGCCCATGAAGTTCTTCTACCAGGTCATCACGACTCCCACGGCCGATACTCCCGGCACGACCGTCGCGCTTCAGTTCCCAGAAAAGCGGTATTTCTTCGGACAGATCTCCGAAGGAACTCAGCGGGCATGTACGGAACGTGGTGTTAAGCTCTCGTACCTCACCGATGTTTTTCTCACGGGTCGCATGGAATGGGGCAATAATGGTGGCTTGATTGGCGTGATCCTTACGCTCGCAGATGGTATTGCCAGTGCGAATACTGCCCTGGAGGCTATTGCCCGTGAGAAGGAGGCCCGCCTACAAAAGTCTGCAAAGTCTGACAAAAAGCCCCCTGTGAAGGCCAAATTGGAGCATGGCGTGCCCTACGCCGTCCAGGATGGAGAGGCGGTTGCGCAGCGGGGGACCTTGACAATCCATGGTGGTAGGAACCTCACGCATACCTTAGCCACCGCTCGGAGATTTGTGTTCAGGAAGGGTATGCCGGTCTTCACGCGGGAATATGATAGTGAGAGTATGGCCAAGAAAGAGTCTGCGGAGGCAGAAGATCCTTTTGAAAAACCCACTTGGTCTGATGATAATATCAAGGTATGGGCTATGCCTATTCGTCCTCCCACATCTTTGCAGCCAAAGGAAGTCCCCCGTGTTGCCCCGCAAAGCCCGAGGAAGAGGAGCCTTGATGAATTCAGAGAAGAAGTTACTGCTCAGGAAGCGATTGACCCGCGCACTCGCGACCAAATAATCAGGCAATCGGTTATAACGGACATGTTCAACTCCACATGGAAATTGGATGCTTTGGTTGAAACCCCTTTGGCTGAGGTTAAGATGCCCGCGGTCATGTTTGTTCGCAATCCAGAGACCAGGGCGCTTGAGCAATACACGGGCCCTGCTCCGGGAAGCAATGAACCGCTGCCTGACATCAAGGTTTTCGTACGCCAGCCTTGGCCAGGCGCAGCCGTTGAAAAAATTCCTCCCACTACCTGGTGTGATGAGGCTGTTTCTTATATCGTGCGGAATCATGATATCAGAGGCAAGTTCGATCCCAAGAAAGCGGCGGAGTTGAAGGTCTGTAAAGGCAAGGACTTCGGACGTTTGACGAAGGGCGAAAGCGTGATATCCGAAGACAAGCAAATCATCACGCCTGATATGGTTCTAGGCCCCCCACGACTTGGAAAAGGTCTAGCCATCATCGATCTTCCTAGTTCAGAGTACGTGGAGAGTCTGATTAGTAGGCCGGAATGGAAGTCACCTTCTGTCACCACGAACCTTGAAGCATTTATCTGGATACTAGGCCCCGGAGTCGGAGATCATCCACGGCTACGTGAGTTTGTCGCCAGTATGCCCCATTGCAAACACACTGTGTCTAGCTCGGACTATTGTCCAAACTACTTGTCTATGGGCAGCATTGCCGGGTCATCTGTTCGTATGGCGCAGTTGAGGCGTGACAATTATCCAGTACCAGTACATGACAATGTGAGCCTTCCGCAACCAGGGACACGCACTCATGGTTCGGAGGTCACAGTGAGAAATGTGCAGAATTCGCCATTCGAAGCAATTGAACCTGGCCTTATCATTGACATGGAGCCTAATTTTGGCATCAACCGTTCTGAGGTTGTCCCACGGTTCAATGCAATTGAGGCAGTGCAAAGGATGCCTGTGGCAGTCCAGAAACGTATGAGTACGATCGATAAGCGAGTCAAAAAGGAAGAATTCGAGGAAAAGCTGCGGCAGTTCCGGAAAGATCTTCCAGGAGCCGATGCGGAGATTATCACCTTGGGTACAGGTTCTTCTTCTCCTTCCAAATACCGTAATGTTTCCAGCACCCTCGTTCATGTTCCTGGTTACGGGTACTATCTGCTTGACTGCGGTGAGAACACGCTTGGTCAGCTGAAGCGCGTTTTCGAGCCCGAGAAATTGCGGGAGGTTCTACAGGACTTGCGAATGATCTGGATTAGCCATCTACATGCAGACCACCATCTCGGTACTGCTTCTGTCATCAAGGCATGGTTCCAAGAGAACTATCCGAATGGAGATTCGCAAACAAGTGCTATCGAGAACGACATGTCCAAGATTCTCAAGGAAAAGCGTTTGTTCCTTGTCTCTGAAGAAAACATGATCTGGTGGTTAGAAGAGTACGCAAGCGCTGAAGATTTTGGCTTTGGAAAAGTGACTCCCTTGTCCGCCTATCCCGTGATTCACAACAGGGCACTGCGGACTAAGTTTGTGTACCGACATTGCCGTGCGGATGGCTCATTCTCTAACCAGGAAGTTGAAAATGCAAACCCCCGTAGTACAGAGCTTAGCTTTGACAGCGAGTCATCTCCGCTCACGCCACTTCTCCGCGAAGCCACAGGTCTTGCCGATCTCTTAACCACAAAGGTGTCTCATTGCCGTGGCGCCATGGCAGTCTCACTTGTCTTCCCGAACGGCTTCAAGGTCTCCTTCTCGGGTGACTGCCGACCTTCCGCTAGCTTTGCCGCAATTGGACACGGCTCCACCGTTCTCATCCACGAAGCCACCTTCCAGGACGACATGGGAGTATCGGCTATCGCGAAGAAACACTCTACGACATCCGAAGCCCTAGAAGTTGGCCGCAGAATGGAAGCTCGCGCCATTCTCCTCACCCACTTCAGTCAACGGTACCAGAAGGTCGCGCACGTAGAAAAGAACCACCCGCCCGCCAAACGCCAAGAGACCGTTGTCCAGCCCGAACAACCCGACATCCCAGACAACGAACCGGAAGAGGCCTCCCAAGCGTCAACCTCCAATGGGAACGTTCCTTCCTTCTTTGCCACCATCAAGGTAGAGGAAAAGCCGCAGATAAAGGTTCCTGTCGTCGCCGCCTTCGACTACATGCGCATTCGCGTTGGCGATATGCCCGTCGCGCAGGCGTACGCGCCGGCAGTGGAGAAACTCTACGACATCCTGGAACGCACTTCGGAAGAGGGCTCCGAGAAGCAGCGCCAGGAGAAGGAGAAGCAGGAGGCTGCCAAAATGCAAGAGAAGATGAGAAGAAAGGCCAAGCACGAGAAGAAGTCGAAGGCTGGTGCTAGCTTGGCCGATGTGGAACCTACACCTGCTGTTCCTGCCGAAGAAATGGATATCGACAAGAAGTCACCGGTCAAGCGTCACTCGGCCTGGAGTGCCAGCGAAAGTGAAAGCGGCTGGAGCACCAGTGGCAGTGATAGTGAAGCTGAGGTGCGTGTGAGGCGCAACAGCCGCAGTCCCAGCAGGACTGTGAAGCGTTCGAGTTAGAGATAAAGCAAGATACACTTATCGTTACATACCCTGTATCATATCAATATCTGACGTGCTTTCAAGAGGTACATAACTAGTATATGGAGGTAAAAGTTTTGGTCAATGGACAGGTTTTCTGTCCTGTCCGGGTACATATATTATTATTATTAAGCTGGGACATAATACAAGAGAAATGAAGGCGTCTATAGTCTATGTAGTCTCTGATAAGATCACGATGTGCGTGATTCTGCATTTCCTCGTTTTCTCTCTTTCCAAAAAAAA